AGCCCCTTCTTATTTGCCGTAGTGTTGGGTTTCTCAGATACATTTAAAACATTAGCTGTTAGGACTAACATGCATCTTCAGAATTATATAGTTACAATTCTATGTACTTACTGAGTAGTACTTTGCAATGCAAGTAATGCTGTTGAGCTTCCTAGCACAACAGTCTTCAACCTTTCCAGGGTCAGGGCCCACCTTTTAACCCACGTGTGTCCCACTGTGCTGCAGGCACATGACACCATAATCATGTGGTATCACAGTCAAATGACAGGAAGAAGCATGTCCAAGTTATTACCTGAATAGTGTCATGGCTGAGACCATGATCTGCACACAGAGAGGGACCGTGGTAAAAGGCCCTGACCCAGGCAAGCCCAGTCTTTTCAGATCTCGGAAGCTAAGCAGGGCTGGGATACAGAGGCAGGCAAGTATCAAGCCACCTCTCTGAAATGTCCTGGCCCCCAGTAGGGGTTGCCAGAAGTCGACGATGACCTCTAGGCACACACAAATATATATATAAAGACAGTGGTAAAAGTACTGTCTCTCAGTGCGTGTGAGTGGAAATAGTCTCTTTTGAACACCGCAAGTGAATTGACATTTGCAAAAGAAATACAACAAATTTTGAATAGAGTGTGTTATGAAATCTTTATTTAGCTAACTGTGTATCTATTTGGTCTATTGGATAAATATAATGTAGTTTCACACTTGCGACTTTCCTGAGTGACTACAAGCTCAGGTCATTTTTATATGGTTAGTTTGGTGATGGGAGTCCTAAAGACATGTGGTATTATGTAATATTTTTCTGTGGAAAGGTGCCTTATAGGAAAGTGGAAGCATACAGCAGACAGTAACAAATTCACTGTAACATTAGTTCCAAAACAATAGCTCTACTCAGCACCATTTTATTTAAGCAAGCTTACAGAGTGTAAGACACAGGATGATTATAAGAGGACTTAAAAATGAATTTGTAAGCTGCCTTGAGGTATAGGAAAGGCAGTGGTATAAATATTTTAATAAAATATTGAATGACTCAACCCCTTGCCCCCCCCCCTTTAATATCCAGCCTGACTGAGAATTCTGGAAAACTAGAAAGCTGTCTGAACGAATGGTATATATGGCTTTTGTTTTGGGCTTTTACTTTGACCCAGCATGGTTACCTACAACATCTACTGGCTGGTTCTAAAGGCTGATGTTCACAGCTCTTTTCCTCTCTGACCAAATTCATACACTCTGTGTTCTAGTTTGACCAAAGATTAGGGAAACAGTTTTAGCAGCTTCCTACTAACCTGCAGGTGGGTATAAGATGACTAAGAGAGATCTATTTTAAATCCAGAGAATTCAATATCATCTGCCTTTTGGAATAAATTTTTCCTCTTGGAATCTATTTGGATGCAGCTTTCCCAAGAAGTATATGCTGTCATATCTGATTCTAGAGGGTTGGTATATCACCTAGTAATTCTGGCCTCTGTTGTATTCCCAGATCAGGCTATTCTGTTCTGTTGTGGTTTAGGAGACAGTTTTATTCACTGATGCTTTTCTGCATCTCCAGATTCCAGCTACAATCCTGTCCGCTAACAGCAACAACACTTACTTGAAATGTTGCTCATGCTGCTGCTTACAGTTGGCAAGCATACCATCCCTGTCGCCAGTTACATTATCCAGTAGACAGCACGTTAGTGAAACCTGCCCTTTAGTCCTATTGATTGGTATATTGTCTCTCGTTATCTGAGCCCGTCTGTTTCAAGTGTCGCTGTGAATTTGCAGTGCTTTTTTCCTGGCTGAATGTGCAGTAATATAATTTGGTCTGCCTTGAAATAACTGAATGTAATGTTTAAATGTTATGCTTCTGTATTTCCCTGGCTGCTTGGGGGAGAGATGGTATTCCAGCCAGGGCCAAGTAAGACCAGTGACACAACTCTGCACTTCCGTGCACACTGTATAGACCTGTTGCTGCTTCCATGGCAGAGAGTGTATTCTGTCCTGGGGGAAAGGACACAGACTTCTTGTATGTGACAGATTTTTATCAGTGTTTTGTTGTAGTGTCATATGGGTTAGGTGTAACGTACTGTAAGCTTGATGGGAGTAAGGTGTAGTAAAAGCATTTGAAAATAAACAATTAAAACAAGTGGCAATGTGTAGCTTTGACATTAATTGGGGGAGGCCTTCAATAGGAAGATAGCATGGCCTTTAGTGAAATTCACTAAACATAACAAGTTTTGATACTCATTCATAGCTCTAGTTAAGACTAAGTGCTTCACACTTTAATGATCTGCCATGCAAATAATCCTGCAACTCTATCAATAGACCTCTGACATTCAATACCCTAGACTCTCTCTTACCACGCATTGGTCTAGAGTTTATAGCATATCATTCCACCACAACATGAGCCAGCTGCACGTTCTTTCTCCAGTTCTATTTTAGGGATCTGAGTTCTCTTCTGTTCTTTTTTACATTGTCTGTACTGTAAAAACTGATAAGTGACATTGATATTACCATCTTAAAAGCAAGGCCTCCCTCCTTTAATGTGTTTAGGAGTAAAAATATCTTAATTAAAAATGTACTAAGGAGTAAAAAAGTATCAGTCTTTGGCTGACTAAATTTGATCTATTGCTTAACCTTTCAATTATTCATTTATTTATTTAAACATACCCTACCCCTCAATCAAGAAATGTGATTTCCAGGGTGGCTAACAGTACAATTAAAATAAAATAACAATAAAGAATCTTTCATTTAAAAATACTAAGCAGTCAAGAATAACATTCATACAGCAAGAAACCAGCAAAACAGCAGAAGTAAAAACAGTATACCAACATCAGAATGTTTCCTTTCGTTGTTTTTTTCCTCCTAGTATGTTTCTGAAACCAAAAATAAGCCAGAGAAGGTGAATAATGACCTGGGGGAATGGAGGCAGGAGAAGGGGGCAAGCAGCAGACATAGGAAAATTTATCTACCTCTTCCCACCTGCTGCTTTTTCCATTTGAAATTGCTCTCAAGTAGTTTGAAGTTGTTGGTCATCAACCCACCTGCCATCATATCTAGTTATACATCTTACAGACCCAAAAGGTCTGTAGGATGGATAATACATGAGGAGGCATCGTGATACATGGAGAACTTCTTGACAAATTCTGTCACTTGGGCAACATGCTCTAGCGAGCCATAGTTCAGCCTGTCTTTCCCAGAGATTTCTCTTTCATAATGCAGTGTAGGGCATTATTGCGTCATGTGCCAACATAAGCCACAGCAGTTTTAGTTTAGTACCAGCTGTAGTTTTGCTCCAAAACTTTTCCTGTTTCCCCTTTTTCCTCATAGCAGTGGCAATGTGTACTTGCTAAAATGTTCTTGGTCTTAGATAGAAGGGTTTTTTTTCGTATTCATACTTCTCTGCATGTTGAATCCAAACATACTAATGAAATTTTATTTTGGTAGTAGTACCAGGGAATATTTCATTTTATTTTCTTTACTGGTAAATGTTACTTACCATTAAACTACTACAAACATTGTTGAAAATATTTTTACTGTGAATTGTAACATTTAGTGATTGTGAACACAAGAAGTTTCACTTCTATATTGTCTCTGTCATCTGTTGTCTGGCCTCTGGTGTAACTTGATTTATTGGTGCTGAATCTGTTTCCTCTCCGTTTTGTTATGCTGTGCCAGTTTGTGGAATATATTACATTTCAAGTGTATAAAACAATCTATTTCAGTATCTATCTACTAGAGTAGCGGTGGCAATAATGAGATCACATTGCCTTTCATTTTATTCCTGTGCACTACAGGTTATTGGTGTTTTCATACTGATAGCACTTGGATTTATTTAATCAATGGCTGTTATTGTAAAGTCATGACTGTCAATCCAATCCACCACATCCCCCCCCCCCGCTTAAGTTTATGTATACAAAGCTGTTTTAGGGAATGGGAGGGTTCCCAGGTTGTATTCCTTGACTGGGTAGGGGGCAGACTTGATGGGGATATAGGTGGTATGGACAGGCCTTACATTCCCTGCAATTGTCATTGTGCTATCTGTGAACACAGTACAGGAAGATGGGAATATAGGTGGTATGCTCAGGCCTTACATTCCCTGCAATTGTCATTGTGCTATCTGTGAACACAGTACAGGAAGATACAGGAAACAACTGCATCATGATCTTTAGTGGTTGATTGGTTTGTGCTCATGTTTATAACAGATGTTATATAAAAATGGAATGTGGATGTTCTTATGTAAAAGAGATTGCATGCATAGAAGTACATTTATAATGCTATACAGAGTTACTCCAGTAATGGGTGGGTTTAGGCCTGCATATCTCAGAATAGGACTTGCACTTTAAAATTCTTATGTATTGATACATATGTAAACAGGATTTATGTGCAGACCTGATATATTTTATGTCAAACATTTTGTACTTCTAAAGTTATGATAGTAGTATTTAAAATTGCTATTCGTATTTTTAAGTAAAAACAAAACTAAACAATAAAAAGGACAAGAAAGAAAGGCCTCTTGTTTGTTTCCTGTGTAGAATTTGGAGGTGTGTGTGTGTGGGGGGGGAGCTGGTATCAGGTTGCACCTTTGGGCTTCTGAGAAGAAGAGGTGGCTACCACCAGCTGTAAATATTAAAAAAGGGGAACACCTTGTTTTTTTAATCAAGATTTAAATGCTAAGAAAGGCATTAGAAAGACATTTGATTAACCAGATAGCTACAGTATAGGGATGTGATCAGTCTGTCGCTGAAGAGGTAAACCACTGAGTGGCTAATATGAGTGTCTTCTTATAAGTAATTCTGAGCAGGTCTGCCCAGAGTCTTACTGTTCAATGGGTTTACTCCTAAGAAAGTGTTCTGTATCATACTTGGTCTGAATCTCTTAAAAGATAGGACAGAAGACCATGTAGAAACTTCAGCTGCAGTACTTCAGGATGTCCTTTGAAGTTGTTCTCAGTAAGGAGACGTGTACTGTTTTGTTGCTAATATACATCTTATGTGTTAAATGTGGGTTTCTCCTTTATCTTACAGGCAGCCAGTTAACTAGATGCAACATGACTTTTACAAAATGCTTTCCTGAGATGCAGAGGAAGTGATACGGCAAGATATAAACTGTGATTCAAGTGTTTACCTATGGGAAAAATACCTTCTGGATGATGTACTGTTCTCAGTAAATGCTGTACAGAGAAAGTGTTGGAGACTATCAACAACAGCTGTGTATCTACACTGATAATATAGTTGCGTATTTCCCCCCACGAATGCCTGAAGAAAAAAAGGTCAATATCTGAATCCTGTGTGTCAAGATGTTTTCTGAAGAAGCATCATTATCAGCAGTTGGTCTCTGGCATGGGTGCCTGTCGCCTGGAAATGACAGAGCAGTAAAGCACCCTAGGTGCCCATTATGAAAAGACAAAGAAACCAGACTGTGCACAACTCTCTTGCAAAAGCTGAAGAAAACATCTCCAGGGAATAGTGTTCAGAATTTCATTTTGACACACGAAGAAGAAATGACTGATAGCAAAAATCCCTGGAATAGAGGTACATGTATCCCTGCTTCTGTGGAGCTTCTAAGCATAAATTATGATATTATACAGAAACACTACAAGAGCAGTGCTATGCACAACCACTTATATAAATCATGTAATTCTTTAGCAAAGAAAGGCAAATGTTTAGAAACTGGAATTTCTTCCCTGGAAAGAGCCATGTATGCTGAAATTCAGTTAAAAATGGATGGATCTCAAGTGGAACCTAATTCACTAAGTAGCCAGTCATCAGTAGAGGAAAGTGAACCTGAACATACTGGTTTAAATTATGTTAAAGACAAAGACAATATTTCAAAAACGTTCTGTGCTTTGCATAACCCCTTCATTTGGGATGGCTGCTTACAGTCGGTAAAGGTTTGTAATGATTTCAGCAATGACTCTACAGCCTGCACTTGTACATTAATGGAATTACCAACTACCTGTGGGAATAAAACTGGACAACAGTTGTGCGATACCTGTGTCACTTCAAGGGATAACTATTTGTGTTTGGAAAGAACAACCGTGGCATGCTCAAGTCGTACTTTCTCGAGTTCTAATATTACTGGAAGAACGCCTTCAAAGCCCTTTCTGAGCCATTGTGAAAACTTCAATGAAAGCTATGAAGAGGAGATAGAGGAGGATTTTTATCCAAGTAAGAAGGAGCGCTCCACCTTATTAGTCAGAAGATTTTGCAAAAATGATAAGGAGGTTAAGAAATCCGTCTATACTGGAACAAGAGCAATTGTTAGAACCTTACCATCAGGGCACATAGGAGCTAGTGCTTGGAATTATGTTGACCAGAGGAGAGCTAACAGTGATTTAAGGCGCTGCAGGATTTCAGCAGAACATCTAACAAGATTTCAAGTTTTGATAAGCCAACGGTTAAGCTGCTGCCTTCTACAGTCAATGAGGCATGGGGTAAGTTTTTTTTTAAATAGCAAATTTTAAAAGGCAGCAGTTTCACAAGATATTTGTCACTCCAAAGTGGAAAATTTATATTTAATTTGTGTATTAAACGCATGTGTGTCTGGATTTATATGCAGTAAATTTAGAATAAGAAAATACTGTTCAGATTTAGAACTTGTAAAACAAAAGCAGCAAGTCCCTAATGTTTAAATTTTGGTTTGCCCACATTCACTGTTGCTTGTAAAGTACAGCAAGAAAATATATGCCCCAAGTTAGCTGCTTTGTGCAACAGTTATCTCTATGTACTCACGGTTAAAATACTCTTATGTAGTGCTTCATATGCGACCTTGTGCATGTTTTTTTTCCAGAAAGAAAATTTCCTTTAAAGAACTAGCCTGGTTACCTTGCAGAAATTGCATCTTGAATTGGCTGCTCTGTCTCTAAATAATGCAAGCTGGCCATGAAAGCTTTTTCTACACAACTGCTTTGTACCTCATTTCACTGGATCCCCTACTTTTGCTGCACTGTTGCTGTTTTTAAGGCTGCTTCTGACATGTTTTTACATTGAGATAGTCAGAGAGGATTAGGGTAGCTGTTGTTCATGAATTATGACTTGAACACTTTTTTTAGTTTTGCATATGTGGATTGAAGAGTCAACTGTTGTGTACTTGCAGCAAATTAAACAGTCACTGTGCCTGTCAGCAAGAGCAATGCATGTGTGTTATTAATGTGGAGGTCATTTCCAAGGAAAGGCACTCCGTATGAAGCAACACTTCATGGAGCAGGTCCTGCTCACCCATTCAGTTTCTCCTTTGACTGTGTTCTCTGGACTCCCCACGGTGCCCAGCTTCCCCATTTCTAGTTGATTCCTCAGACTTTTTGCCCAGACTATTTGTTATCCTGTACTATTAACTTTCTGTCTGGTGCTTGAAAGAGTGGTTCTCTGGCGCACATTTTTTAACATGTGATTTTGACTTTGGAGTGAGAACTGAGCCTACTTTGGTTCATTTTCATCAGTCTGTAAAGGCTGCTTGGCCAGCTGTAGCAGGAAGCAGGCGGTGTATTTGATAAGTAGGCAGGTAGATTCAGGTTTAAAAAGAGATAAAAATGTAAAGAAACAACTGTTTACCAGCCTGCCCATGCCCTCTTTTTTATTTCCTCTTGCAAGGTCCGCTAGAAAGGTGCAAAAAAGGACGTGTCCTGAGGAATAAGAGCTGAGAATTGTGCATTTTCCATTTGATCATGATTCCTGTTGTTTCATTTCTTGATCCAAACCTTATACCTTCCAAAAGTTACAATTTCAGTGGTCCATGTAGCACTTTAAGTTTGAAATTTCTGATTAGAAATTTGACCCCTGCCCTCCTTTCTCCATGAGCTATGAAAGTGGAATAGGTGTTTTCTCCATGGCCTGCATGTAAACTGGTATGGTTTGTAGGAACAGAGCATAATTACAAAATTCATCTCCAGGGTGCACACAGCTGTCTTCTTGGGGAAAAGCTCTCTATAAAACAGTCTACCCAAAGAAACTATTGAGTTAACCAAGAGATTAACAGAGGCCCTGTTCATACGAGGGGTTTTGGTCCGGGAGCGAGACAGAACGGGGGCGGAGCAAACGGGCGCGATCCCACGGCAACATCTGGGAATCGTTGCCTGCCCTTCCCCGATCCGTCCCTCCCGCCCGAAAACCCGCACTAAAAAGAACCACCTACCTGGGTGGTTTTTCCGAAGTAGAGCGCCTCAAACCGGCCGTGGGATCGGCCGGCGCATCCTTGCGCCGGCACATCCCGACCTCCGGCCGAACTGCGCATGCTTGAGCATGCGCAGTTCGGCAGCCTCCCCCTTCCCTCCGACACTTCCTCCCCGGCATCTGATCGTGCCGGGGAGCGATGCACCGCGGCTTCGGGGATTCGTGGGATCCCGCCGCAGTGTCGCAACTTTGGTGCGGCTTTTAAAAGCCGCGCTTTTCACTGTGTTTTCCCTGCCGTGTGGCAGGGGCCAGAGTAAAGTATTTGAGATATTTTCCTATTTTGAAGGAAGACCAGACTGCCTCCTGTTTCAGCTCTTGAAACCTGTTTCTACATCCTATTACCATGCCCACCTTCCAGGCTCTCTCAGTGTTTTACAGCATAGATACGTACAGGCCCTGTTCACACGGAGCATTTGCCGTGCTAAAGATACGGATGATAGGCAGATTTTCCTGGCGCGATCACACCGCAACATCTGGGAAGCGTAGTGCACCCGTGGCTAACTCGTGGCTTCCTGCCGAAGATGCGGAGTAAAAAACTAGTACATACGATGTGCTAGTTTCCGGAAAACGCGAGGCAAGGGTGGGTGTCTGATCGTGTTTTTGCTGGAATCCCGTGGCATCCGGCGCCCACCCATGTCCCGTCGCAGACCGGATGTTTGGGTTTTTTTAAGTCTCCACAGGATGCGCACAAACTCCCACCGGCCCATGCGTACACTGTGGTGAGGGGAAAAAATTCCCGTTTGCCACGGAAGTGGCGCCTAGCGATTACCAGTGTGATCACGCTGCGCCACTTCTTTGCCGTGCTGCGGGATAGCCATGTGATCGGCACCTAACGGCATACCCACGGGAGGGGGGATGTGTGATCCGGCGGCCCCGTGTTAGTTTGCTCCGGGGCAAACAGCCACCCTCCCCCCCCCCGCATTTTCCGGCCCGTGTGACTGGGACCACAGGACATTAAAAAAAAACTGGTTTGCCAAGAAGTTTATTGATGGGTGAATTCACTTCTGCTCATTTCATAATTTGATTGCAAATAGTATGTGGCATATATACTCATAGATTTGAGAAAACACATTTTGTTGAGTTCTCCAAATTGGACTGTAAATACTTTGCAAATCTGCGGATTTGACAACTGTGATTCGTGTGTGGGAAAGCACTGTTTTCTTTAGGCAACTTTGTGATACTTTGTGTATGTTTGGGTGAAGTTTTAAATTGTTTTGTAGATTTGTTCAGGAGAGTTGTAGTTTACAAAGCTTGTCACAGGAGACCGAGACATTTTCTCCTAATGGTTCTTGTACACCTGCATTTGTAGGACTGCATATTTAAATATGTGCCAATTTTGGGGCATATGTGACTTTGCTAGCAATCCATTATATTCTGACCACACACCAACAGTGCCTACTGGCTGGTTGTCTAGTATCATGATAATTGTAGCTGACTGCATTATTGAAAAAGCAGCACATAAACAGGCAATGCTGCTCATTTAAAATTGTGAACGTATTGGCGATTCAAGAGTATGGGAGATTGGATTGAAAGAAAAAGAGATATTAAAAGAAGGGTAAATTTGGTTGGTTCTAATATGTGGATTGTGTCCAGACTGTCATGATGGAACTTCTGGCTCACACCCCCTCCTCTTACTCCTTTTCACTATTTTATCCGGAGGTCAGACAAACAAAATTCGCTGTTGCGGAGAAGTAGAAAGGTCCCTTCCTTCGATGCTGGAAAGGAAGCCAACAAAATGGTGGAGTCACTGCCAGAGTACAGGCTACTGTAGGATCTCCTTTCTTCTGTTGGTGTGCATGCATGCTACCAAATGTTTCATTCTTCCCTTCTCCAGGGAGGATCTCCTTGGTCCAACCATCAGGGGAAATTCCCACCAACCTACCACAGCCAGAACTACGGATCGTGAAGAGAGAGATCACAGAGCATTGTACTCCAGTAGCTGAATTGCGCCATGGCTTTGTTAACTAGTTTGTGCATGTTTTGGCACTCCTCCTTTTTTTGCTTGAATTTCTGTTGTGGCAGTGGTGCAGTAGCAAATCTTGTTCTTTGGCAAAGCCAGCTGTTCTTGTTTTAAAAATTCTGGTTGTGCCAGGTATGTTGTAGCAAACTTTTTTTTTTTGATTTTGCAAATACGAGGATAGCAGTATTACTTCTTTATGCAAAGTGGCTGTAGATGCATGCTGGAAAGTAACTGTGCAAAGAAACTAGATATGATTTGCATACATCTGCTTGTAGTGAGTTGCAGTGGGATCTAAAATACAGACTTTGAAGATTTGCACTGAATTGATGCCTCCTGAGCTGGGTCAGCTCAATACAGACTGCAGCTTGGAGTGGTTTCCCAAGTGCAGACCCATCACCTCACTTTATTATCTCACAGGCAGGGAAAGGGGGTACAAATGGGATATAACCAAGGAGAGAATACATTTAGCACAGTCCTCTTCTGTATTCCTTCATATCAAGATGTAGCCGGGAGGGGGAACCCATAAAATTATTGCCTAGGTCTGAAGAGTAGTTTAAGTCAGTCTTGGATGTAGCAGTTAAAATAATACAACTTTCTGATTTGTTCTTTCACTTATTGCATAGCAGAATGCTACACTCTATTTTGTGGATTCTTCTTGGCATCATGTGTTATGCTAGGACTACAGTATCGGGGGCGGGGGGCATGCTTCAGAAAATCTCAAAATTGTAGGCATTTGTAGGATGTTAGTCTAGTTCTTTCCTGTTCTTGAGTATGCTGCGATGTGATATCTCCCATTTTATTTGTTTTGTTTAGTACATTTTTATCTTGCTGACCCATCAAGGAGTTCAGGGTGGTGTCCATCATTCTCCCTTCCTCAGGTTTATTCTCCCTTCCTCTATTATTGCAACAACCCTGTGAGGTAGGTCTGGTGTAGTGGTTAGGTGCGCGGACTCTAATCTGGGAGAGCCGGGTTTGATTCCCCACTCCTCCACTCGCAGCTGCTGGATGACCTTGGGCAAGCCATAGTTCTGGCACAGCTGTTCTTGAAAAAGAGCAGTTTCTCTCAGAGATCTTTCAGCCCCACCTACCTCACAGAATGTCTGTTGTGGGGAGGGGAAGGGATTTTAGAGGTTTGTAAACTGCTCTGAGACTCCTCTGGGTAGTGAAGGGCGGGGTATAAATCCAATCTCTTCTTCTCTTCTTCTTCTTCTTACGCTGAAAGAGAGTGGCTGCTCAAGGTCATCCAGCAAATCTTGTGACAGAGTGGGGACTTCAACAGGGGGGGTCTAACACCCTTACCACTGT